TGCAATTAACAAAAATGAAACAAAGAAATAAAAATAATTTACAAATGACTAGATGAAAGTTAAGAGACTGCCGCATATCATTTATTGTCTATTTAATAGTTGAATCTATTCACGATACATTTAAACTTCTTATCATCATAATAATTCGGTATAAACTAATTTATATAAAGAGTTAGTATCGCAATATCATAAAAATTTTGAGTCACCCGGATATACTTTAATTTGTGCCATGACTCATAGTAAAACCAGTTTCGTTCGTTTTATTCTTCGTGTTAGGGATTTTCTTAGAGATTGTGTTTGCATCCCGCGAGCGTTTGCGCGAATAAATTTATCGACGTTACGCGCGAGGCATGCAGAAAACGTATCGCGTTCCTGCAATTAATTCGAGATGCAACCGAGACACTCGTCGATTCGTTAGCGGAAATAAATGTATTTTATGCACTTTTTCTTTTTTTTTTTCTTTCTTAATCGTGTTTATACAATTTTTACTACCAAATTAATTTTCGCTTTCGTTTTGAAACTGATTTGTATCAGATTTATAAATATGTTTTTTTATCTTACGATCATAAATTTTTGAAGGATTTATTAGAACGTTAAATTGAAATAATAAAATTTCTTTGTTTAATTTCTCCTAAATTTAATATGATTAAAAGATTTAAAAAAAAGATCAATAGTTTGATAAAAGCTGCATAGTTTTGTTAACATGACACCTACCTAAGGTAGAAAAGAGTGTGACGAATGATTTATTAATATGATAATATATGAACGTATGTCGTGACAGCCGGAAATTTAAGTTTCCCTCCCACGTTAGCCTTCACATTCTATGTTATAAGTGCCATTATAAATGGCTGTTACAAATCCAATATTATTAATCTCTCAACGTTCACACTCTTTTTTCGTTAAATTTTTGAATAATAAATTACGATTGAATAAAAATAGATGTGATTTATGTCTCACAAGTTACGTATTTTGATATAAAATATCGTAAATTTTCAATACATAGCAATCAATGACAAAAATAAGTAAACAATGTGAAATGTTTATTAATAGTCAAATGACGATATAAAGTCACTTTTAACCTATATTAAATTTGTATATTCGCAATATGAAATAAAATTTGGAAATTTTATTTTTAAATAAATTATATTTATTTGCAAATAAAAATTTGTAAATTACAATTAATCCAGCACATATTAATATAGTCTTAAAATTAATTAATAATCAGACAGTGGATGATCGAAAAATGATAGATTGATCATTTTTGATCCATATTAAATTCACATCCTTTTTTAATAAATTATACTTAAATATTTCGAAAATATTTCAAATTTTTCTGCAAATAAAAATTTTTAATTGCAATTCTATTCTTCCAATATTTTTCCAAAATTAATGAATTATTTAAAATTTGTTTTAAAATTATATACAAAAAAAATCCATCACAAAATCTACAAAACAATAATTGTTAACAAAACACGTATGTACAAGTAAATACATCTAAGCTAACATAACCTAACCGCTATACCGCGCACATCGTGCCTCATCATTATTATAATTACCGTAAGCCATTCCATTCCGTGCACAAACCATCGCCCATTATGGCTCCACGCAGACTCTAGCTCACCGTTTCGACCCCTTTTTTCCTCCCTTTTTTTCCCCGAGTTTTACGATGGTTTACCGAGCGATGCGTGGCAAGTTATTGCCTCCGATTTTAACGTGGAACTCGGCTAGTCCCTCGGGAATCGACTGCCTCTACCGACCGTTCGAATCCCGTGGGTGCTACAGGAGCTGCGTGTCTCTCTTTTCAAAAAGAGAAAGGAAAATGAGGAGTTGGGACTCTCTCGATGCCCATTTACGCATGATGTCTCGTAAAAGATGGCCAATGGAATATATTACTCGATGGAACGTGGATTTTCATTCAGAAGTTTTTAGCGAAAAAGGAAGAAGTATCATGACTGGTATTTCAAGTATTGGCAAAGATAATTATTATTGGTTATATGGTTATTATGGTATGGATAATAGAAATGAGCATGGTGGCTATTGAACGTCGGTGCAGACACTTTGAGTAGATAAGATTTGTGAAATATATTAACGAGATATTTTGCGATATAGAGGAAACTTGCAGTATGATGGATTACCTTCACTCAGAATTAAAAGAAATTTATTTCATGTAATAATTTAGAGAATAATTCAGTTTATAAATAATTTAGAATATTTCAGATAATTATTGTTTGATAAATAATGAAATTTAATTGATATTGTGTTTTATTTAATTAATTGAAATAAGATGAATATTTGAAAATAAGTTTAAGAAAATTTTATATTTTTTCTCAAATTTGGTCTAAACTCTCTGAGTAATTTTTTCATTGAAAAATTGATTATAAAGAGAAATTTAAAAATATATTTGAAGATGTCAGGTAGATGTATACCTGCAAATAATCATCTAAAAATATTTTTTCTTCTTTTATTATCTCTCCATAAAAAACTATTCAACAATTGACTTTAGTTTACAAGAATTAGACAATATCTTTATTGAACAATTTTTTTTAAAAATTATTCTTTGTAGATTATTTCTCTACAGAAAATATTCTAAAATATATTTGAAGTTATATAATTTCTCTAATTAAGATTTTGATTAAAATTTTCGATTCTACATTATATAAGAAATGTATCAGAATGTGGATGACAAGAATAAGACGGTACAGCTATATATACTTACAAAAGAATCATCAGGAATCGAACGAATGGTGCGGTGCACATGCCACAGATGGCAGCAGCTAACAAGGTAGTCGAACGAAGTTCAATAATCGAACTTCGAAAAACTAACCGAAATCTATAATTGTGAATCCATTTAAGAGTAAAACTTTCATGAATTTCTTTGAAATTTATTTCGAATTTTTTCGAATTGTATTTCTTACTATTGGAATTATTTTTATTTATTTGAATTATTTTAATTTTTTGATAATCATTAATGTAATGTTTATTTTTAAAGAATATTCTCAAAAGTTTTATATATTACGAACTCATATTTTATGAAAAATAATAGAAAATGTATAAATATATACAATATTACATTATAAAATAGAATATAAAAAGAGAATAATCAAATATCTTTGTTTATTATAAAAAAAAAATGAAAGAATATTATTTGTTGAAGTTTGATTCAATTTAAAAATTAAGTTATTCCATCTTTACATCACCGTTTTCACGAAATTACATAGAGAGGAAATTAACATTTGGGGTTGGACTGGGTTATTCGAAGGAGATAATGCAATGATCCAAGCATTTAATTAGCAGGAAGACACTGCTATATTTACGGCAGACGCTCTAGATATCTTGTAACCTAAGAGGCATTCTAATCTCGTGGAATTTTATCTGCGATGTAACGACCTGTCGTTTGTCAGTGTGGCTCTCAGTGCGCGGCCAAATCCCTTTTTCATCTAAATTCCTTCGTAACCGATAAATTTTCAACATTCATGCTGCTTGTTCAAAGACCGGTAGTAATTTCTCTTTCACCGTCGTCGTTCAACCCCCGCAAAGTGGTTTGACAACTGTCTTATCGCGTGGAAAAAACGCACTGTCGTCACAGAGATAATAAGAAACAAATAAAAACATAAATTTGAGTTGATCAACCCTCGACACTTTATTATCTAGTAAAAAAATCTTTCTTTTATTTTTTAATCAACGACACAAATCAAACTGACGTTTAATAAAATTTATTCAATGTTCACAGATAAATAATACCAGGAGAAAAATCTATAAAGATGATTCCACAAGAAAAAAATCTTGAAAATGGCCAAAGTGACTTCAACCAAATAAAAATCAATTCGAAAACGAATGAGATGGAATAAAAACGGTAGTGACAAACAGAGGATAGACCGATTCGTGGTTTCGTTTTTCGCGAGACGAAGTCTAATAAAAACGTTAGGAACCTACCGTAAAATGTTTCAAGTTTCAAGCCGGCTGGTGGCGCCAGGCTACGCTACATTCTGTCCAGGGGTAGCGCAAAGCTCGGTCTATACGCCGATCTCGATGTGGAGGGGAGGCTTGTGCCGGGATATCGCACACAGACACTGTAAAATCAAATTCTACACCGACTCGCATTTGTAGGGATGGCGCAGCTCGACTGGCCACCGAGAGGAAGGAGAAAAGGACTATAGAAACACAATGGAAGAGCGAGCGAGATAAGTGGACGAGGATGAACCGATGGAGAGGGGTAGGTTGACCCTGCCGGGTCAAGAGAGAGACAGTCATATCACAGGAAAAAGGACAGCTACAAAGGTGTAATTCGATTCCGTTCTCAGATAACAAAGCGAGCTGCATAGAGTTAGGAAAGGAAAAGGATGCAATGAGCGAAGCAGGTTGATTGCGGGAGAAAGATGCAAGGAGAGAGGGGTTGGCCGACCCTGAGCAAGTGGACGAATACCAATCGCCAGGTGAGAGAAAGAGATGAAACAAATTGAATAGGATGACCGAGGAGAGAGAAGAGTATATACAGTCCAACTTTTTAGCGACAAAGATCATACAAAAGAGATAAAGAAGGAAGAAATGTCACTTCAACGACGAAGACAGTATAAAGAGAGACAAAAAGAAAAGAAGTTCCAGCGACGAAGGTTGCATAAAGATAGATAAAGAAAGAACGAAAGCTTCACCGACGAAACTGAGACTATACATGAGAGACAAAGAGGAAATAAAAAATAGATAGAGAAAGAGCGAATACTACTTGGAGGGAAGAGAGGGAGAGCGAGAACGAGAGAGAAGGGTTGATCGACCCTGCGCGTTATCAGAAACCGCCCCTCCCTAACTCCACTATACCACCCCATCTTTATATATCTCATATGTATGTGTAACCGTAGAATGTATATGCATCGACGTGCGCAGTGGTGAAGACCAATACA